TAAATTTGATTTTTTCCTGTTTTTTCGGATAAATTAGTATAAAAAAAGAATTCGTTTGAATTTTAAATTTCCTCAAGAAAAGAGGTCGAAAAATAGAATCAGAGGAACCTCAAAAACTAACGACATAATCCTTTTATGTATCACAAAAAAAAACAAATTCCCTTGCCCTAATTCTTCAGAAAAATTCTCAACTGAACGGTCACCCGGCCACCGGGCGCCGGTCTCTAGGGTGCCGTTGCCCTGAAAGCTCCATAAAAGGAGAAGAAATTCAAACAGAAGTCAGTTAATGTTCACTCTCTCTGACTGCAAACGATGATCCGCCAGACCACTGCTCTCCTCGTTATCCTTGCTCTTCTCGCCGTTTTCGATATGGTTTCCTGTGCTGCAGATGCTAAAGCATCCCCCACATCCACTACAGGCAGTAGCTCCAACGGAGTTGCATCGTATTCTGCTCTTGGTAGGTTCAATTATTTCGATATCTTTGAGATCTTATTATTTTCCAGGTGCTTTGATTGCGACTGTCCTAGCCAACCTCTTATGATCGGCGTCGTCATCACATCTTCTTCCTCTTCTACTTGCGGTTGTCTTCTCTCTTTTTTAACTTAATGTTTAAATAAAATATTATTTTTGAAGTTTTTTTTCAAAGTTTCAAATTTTCTAGTAATTTCTATTCTTTTTTGAAGCAGTTTCAGCAATTTCCACTATTTTTTCAACGAATTCCGACAATTTTTTTTCGAAACTTCCAGAAAGCGCCAGCAAACCCCTTGGAGCGAAATGTGATTTCGTTGGCGCGCTTCTCGTTTTCAGTCTCACTTGACCCGTTTTTCGAGCTTTTCTCTCATTTTTTCGAAATTTTTCGCACTTTTTTCTTATCAGTCATGCACCCAATAATTTTTTATCATTCTACCAAGGCTTTCTCCTTTTTTTATCGTTTTTCGTCGCGTTTTTTGAGTGCACTCGTCGTTCAAAGTTTGTGCGCCAAAAATGTGAGTTGTTTGTTGGGAATTTTTCATCGGTAGCTGTTAATTATTCACCGAATTTGTAACGTCGTCGTGCAGGATTACATCCGAATGCATCGGATTTGTGACGGCACGATTTTGAGCGGATTTGCGGATTTTCTTCAAGTCTGAATCCCGAAGTCACACGGCGACGAGGATAACCGAATTCTTATCGTGGCAATCAGCTATGGTGCATAATTAATTATATAATTCTAGATCCAAGCTTGTGACGAAGATTCTAGATCCAAGCTTGTGACGTGGAGGATTTGAGTTTGGCCCGATCACACTCTATCCGTCGTACCGCCGTTAACCATCTTAAATTTTTTATCGGAATTTTCATGATTCCATTTAAAATCATCTTAAATTAGCCATCTTAAATTTTTTATCGAAATTTTCATGATTCCATTTCAAAATCAGCGTCTAAATCCTTCAAAAAGTGATTTCTGATCGGTTTTTTTTTCTGAAAATCAACAAGAAAACAGAAGCCAAATTTGCTCGCTGGCATGGCTTTAAAAGTCCGCTTAGTCTATGAAAATTCACAAATCCCTGTCATATTTTTATCTGTCTCTAAATTGCAGTCTGAAAACCAATCTTCGCCTTAAAAGGATCCCAACGTTCGCTCAAAAGACGGCGAAGCTATTTCTTAGACATCCGCCGCCGAGTGATATCGAAAAAATTCTGTTTTCCCATTTCCGATGACATTGAGAAATCTGTTCTGAGTCATTTTCTTGTCCAATGTGATCTCTGCAATTCTCGATTGAAAATTCTCTATCAAAACGGCGTCCTAAATGCCCCCTATCCCTCAGGGAGGGCTCGTCCGTCTTCCGTTCCTAACGACATAGCTGAAAAACAGGAAGTTCCATCCTCCACGAACTTCCTTGCAGGAAATCACATGTCCATCGTCATCCCAAAATCTTTGCTCTTCGCTTGCATCAGCTGTTTTCTTTGTGTCCAAAAAACATGAATAACTTTTATAAAAAGCGAAGAAGAAGAAGAAATGTTTTGCCGTCTCGGTCATACACTCTGCGTCTCTACCATCTCTCCCAATCAATGAAAAGCAGGAGAAATAGCATTTTGAGAAGTGGAGAGTCAAATGCTTCTCTCTCTCACACCCTCCATAGCTTATAAAGGCTGCTAGAGGAGAGGCCTCTCCGCAGTTCTTGATAACACCATTCTTGGTTCTCTCCTCTCTTTTTATTTCTTCTGACAGCAACTTTCTGTTCTCTGGGTGCATTATGTCATCTTTCATAACAAGCCTTTATTCTCTTTTCAATGAAATTGAAGTTCAACGAACAATGACGCTGCCTGCTGAAAATCCAATAATTTCGCAATGACAGGCGGGCGGAGCTATTCAGCGAGGAGATCATGATGACATCGTTATCTTTCGGGAACATTCCGTGCGTTGATAAGGATGCCTATATCATTCATTCGAGCTGTTTACATTCATTGTTTCCTGTCTTTCGTTACCTGTCAAACATCTGTAAGCGGTGAGAAGCCCTAAAGCAATTGTTCCTTATAGTTTCTCTCCCCTCACCAAAAAGGTCATGTGACAGGTGGTGTGATCTTGTTGACGTTTGTAAAAATTAGGTTTCTTCTAGTTCGTAGTTTTTCATTCTGAAGAAAGTCGCTACTCAGCTGGCGACCGCCACGCCGACATGCGACGCTTCCAAACTTAGAGATCCCCTTCCATGATACCGTGCAATGTTCAAAGTTCATCTATTGCACCGAGTGTGACTTGATGTTTTTGACTTGCTAATTTACTGATAATGATAAGCAGCCAACACTGCAATCATTTGAAAACGAATGGGTATTTTCAAATCGAGTCATGGGGGGATTCAGTGAGAAGCAAATCAGCAAATTACTGGTTTTTCGTTATGGGGCCGCGAAGCCAAAATTGCTGGAGTTTTCTAGGCCATATTATGTCCTAGTGGAGCTACGCGAATAGCCTGAGCGAGACCCAAGCAGGAAATTCCATGCGCCTTCAATGTTGAAGCGATTTACGAGCTCAATACTTAAAGGTGCATAGAATTTCCTGGCTGGTCGTATAGCTCCACGAGGACAAGGTATGACCGAGAAAACTCCAGCATTTTGCTTATTTCCGATTTCACTGAATATCCCCATAATCTAACTGATTGAACCAACTGATGACGAGAGAAGGCCACCGCATCTCCATTGATTAGATTGTCAGTACTTAGCCCTATAATTGATTCTAATCTTTTCTGAAAGGTCTTGTTATTCCACAACGTCTTATTTTATGGCTATTCTCCTTCTTCGCTCCACACTCGCTCTCTCTATCATGCACTCCGTCGCCACATCATGCATATCGATTTGGCGCCCAGGACGCGGCGGCGGGCAGCAGAGCACACAATGTCTCGTTTCTCTGCCGTCTTGTCACCATTATAACTCTCTTATTCCTTCCCCTTCTCACTCTTTATAGGTCACATGTTCCATTCTGCCTCGTGTGGGTTTCGCATCACATCATTTTGTTCTGATTCCATATATTTCCGTTCTGATTTCGCCCTCCCGCCCACTCGTTAACACTAATCGTGCCTTATTTTCAGTGTTCCCCCCACCCGCCTTCTACCTTCAAAGCCGTCACGATGTTGAGTAAACCAAATAATAGTAATAATAAACAGGAATCGATTCGTTTGGTCAACGAGGCTGCCGTCGACAGGTGAGAATTTTTTCTAGGGGTTTCTTGGAAAGCTGATCAACCCAAAAATAAATAAAATTTAAATTTTCCAGCTCGTTGACCTCCACCCAATCGTCGACCAAGCCTACCGACGTCGGATGGTGTTTTTGACGCCCCCCAAGGTGCACTCAAAAGATTGCTCAAAGAAACTGAAGCAATCGTATCGTCAGTCTCTCCATCCTGGCAAGTTGGCAGCGTCGACGAGAAAACGCTTGCCTTGATGATTCCTCATGATCAACCGGTGCTTGGAATCTCCAAGAAGAACTTTGTCGATCTTCTGGAGTTCGCTGAAGACCAATTGGGTATGTTTCTAGACTCTTTATAACTAAATAACCCTTTTCCAGAGATGGATCGTGTTCTGGCTGTCTTCGAGAAGTCTCGTGTCAAAGCAACTGAGGGATTCCCACGTACGCTTCGCTATGTCGGATTCCGCCCATACGCCATCGACGAGCATCCAGCTTCGCTTCCATCCGAGAAGTACTTCATCATGAGCTACAAAGTCTAACAATTCCACGTCACCGACTCGTCTTGAAGAATCATCAATTCTTGCTTTTTCTCTCGTTTTATCGCTTATTTTATTTCCTTCTGACAAAAATACTTTAAAAACTCCATAAAAATCAAAGATCCCTTCATTTCTTTTGTCTTCTTGAATTTCCTCTCATAGCCATGTCGTCACCTATTCTCTCCCCATGAATGTGTTTTGTTTCTTGTGTACAAAAATGTTGAATCTTCTATTCCATAATTTTTTTGCCCAGGTCCCCTCCCTTTTTTTTGTTTCTTTTTCGTCGTCTTTAACAGAGATTATGGTGACTAATTCTTGTGTTTTTTGAGGAATTTCTTAATTTCTTTAAATCCCCCCAACCCCCATTTTATTTTTCGCCGTACGCGCCAGTTTGGAGAGCTGAATAAATCAAAAAAAATGCAAATAATTCTGTTGGTGTTGTATTTAGCTCATGTTTTTCTAAAATATTACTTTTCAGGCTATGATTCATACCTTCAGATGATGTTCGCTGGAAAACGGAGGTACTACCTATAAAAGAAGCTGACAAGAGAAATTCCGAAAATTCTGAAAAAGACATTTAAAAATTGCAAAAAATCCGAAAATTCCCAAACACTAAAAACTTGAAGAAATCAAAAAGTTATTTTAAAATTCTGAAAATCCGAGATTCCAGAAAACCGAAAATTCTTAAAATTTGAGAATCTGAAAATTGGAAATTCTTGAAAGTCAAAAAATTTGAGGTTTCGAGATTCTGAAAATCAGAAATTTAGCGTATTTTGAAACATAATCGGAAAATTTGAAAATCAATAAAAAATGTGATAATTATGAAAAAAGTCAATTATCATCCCATTATGGTCAATTTCAAAATTTATGAAACTCGAAAATTTCTCGGAGATTCTGCATGTGTCTAGAAAATTTCCGAATAATTTTCGGTATTTTCTGGAATCTAAAAAAACCGAGAATTTCAGTTTAAAATATTTGAAAATCAACGAAATTATAATTATTTTGCAGCAAATTGATCGAAAGATGACTTGAATTAAACTTTCTCGATTTCCGAATGATTGGCAGCAAATGAAACATGCTGAAAGTCAGAAAAAACGCTGAAAATCAGAAAAACTGAAAAGACAAATATTTAATTCCACAAATCTTCGAGCTAACAATCTTTTACGAGAGCCGAAGATGCCATGTTTGATTAAGATCAAAAGGCCATCATCTGTCGAGCACTTTATTTGTATTTTTCTCTTCTTCGTATATATCAGATGACCCCTGTCTCCCGGTCCGTCTCTACTTTTCGATGGTATCTCTGGCCGACACATGTCGTGTATTCGAGAGAAAAGAGGGTCCGCGCACTCCCACTCACAATCGCATTCCTTCAAATCGATTGACGATTTATCTACCTGAATCCCGTTATATTCTAAATGGGTGTTAAACTTTTGTCCCTGCCTCGTGTGGTATTCGCACAGGTTTTGAGAGAAATGCAATTGTTCGAAGTGTAAGTTTTTCTATTGGAGTTAGAAGAAAATTTTTATGATTCGATGATAATTGTTCTGGTACAAAAAAATAGGAGCTAATAAATATGGAAGAGAAACGCCGGTGATCAAAAGCCGAACGTCCCGCGATGACAACTACCGTTACCTGAAAATTTAGTTATTTTTTAGCAATTTTTCGAGCGAAAACCCCTTTTTTTCTTCAATTCTTTGCAAAGTTTTTAGACCTTTTGAAGGTTTTCAGCTATTTTCCATGATTCTTTTTCGATTTTTCCGATTTTTTTGTCTGAAATTCGATGGAACGGTTTTTGATTACTGTAGATTACTGTAGAAACCTAATTTCCTTTTGTATTTTTTTGCAATTACAATCATTTTTTGCCTGAATTTTGACGTGATTTTTTCGCAAAAAAAACTACAAAAGGAAATTGGGTTTCTACAGTAATCTACAGTAACCTTCCGTCAAGAACACCCAAATTTCAGACAAAAAAATCGAGAAAATCGAAAAATCACCTTCAAAAACAGCTGGAAAACCTAAAAAGTTCTAAAAATTTTGCAAAAAATCGAAGAAAAACATTTTTTTATTTATTTTCTCGATTTTAATGCAGTCCCTATCAATTTTTCCAAACTCTTTTTTGGGAGAAAAATAACTGAAAATCGACGAAAAACAGTTGACAGCAAAAGAGAAAATAAGCATATTTTTAGGTTACGGTAGTTGTCGTTCTGGGACACTTCGGCCACGGCCATCGGCTTTTCTCTTCCAAAGCTGCGCTTTTTTGGTACCTGAATAGTAAAAAGTTGCTGTTCGAACTAAAAATGTCAGTTTCGAGAAATTTAGTTAACGGATTCCTATCGAAATAATTATTCCCACATTCAATACTATTTCAAAATTGACTTTATTACGGACTATCCAAATACCTTTAAAAAATTATTTTTGCGGTTTCACAGTTTTTATATGATTTTGGTCTTCCTAAGAATCTTTACTCGATTTCTTTTTCGGCTGTATTCAGGTCTTCAGTATGCTGAATGTTTCATTTTTTTAATAGAATCCTTTAAAAAATTATTTCAGATTCGAACTGTCCCAAGTCTCCAAAAACATGTATACCCGAATAAAACGAGTCAGACGAAAACTAAAACCAATCACAGTAAGCCATGGATACTCGAGAAGTGAAATCAGTGCCACCGAGTCCCCCGGATGCAATTTTGATTTGAATTTTCGCTTCGAGCAACGAATGGATTCAGTTGTGATTCGAAAATTAAACATTCGAGATCTCAAAATCGAAGTCAGCGAAAAAATCGAAACACGAAAAACATTTTTGTGTTTTGAGGATCAATTCCTGACTGTAATGATTCCATTATTGAAGCATTTGATGGATTTATTCAATATGAAATACACCACACTTCTCGTTAATTATGACAGAATATCAGAGGATTTTTTCCATCCAGTATTTGATAAATGTGTAGAATTGAACACATTTAGTCTGTCCGGAGTTCCAGATCAATGTCTTTATCGGTTAATGGAATCAAAACCAAT